TTCTTTTTCTATTCTTAGCCAGCCTTCTGATGAAATCCTTTCTTCTATTCTTTTAGTATAGCTTTAATGTAATATATACAATAAAATAATAAATCAGCCTTCTGAAACATGGAGTCAGATCCTCATCTCTTCCCTCATCCTCAGACCCCTGTGAACACGGTCACACACATGGGAAATAGCAATCAACTGCACGGCCCTCCAAACTAATAAATAGGAAAATCAAAAGGAAAAGAACGGGACACAAAAGCAGTTTACCATGGTATCTAATCCAAGAGTTAGGAGCATCAAAAAGAATATTATAGCCCAGAAGGGAGAGAGGGGGAGCCTTGTTAAGGCTTCTGGGTAAACCACAAAAGCAATCCCAGGACCTAGAAAAAAGACAAATAAAGATTATCAGATTCAGTCTTTCCTATTTGCAAAAAGGTTTAAACATTGCGGAGTTTAGCATTACCTGATTGATTTCTATTTACACTGTAAATTTCAAATCACTTACTTAGTCCAACTTTCCAAGCAGAATGCATATTCAACCAGTATACAAACAAACTGATCCAAAAGTTTTAAAAAACAGCAAAAATTGCACACTGCAGCAATGTTTCTGTGATCAAATTCCTGCCACCTCCCTGCCAATCAGCAACCCATGGCAGACATCCACACCTCAGTGCTGCAACATGAATGGAAATGCAAATACTCTTCTTCAACTCCTTGCCACGCTGTTAAATGAGGAGAGAATATAAAATATATGCCCAGAGACCTGACAGCAGACAGAAGGCAACAACTACTGGGATTCTAAAAAATCCACAAGAAAACCCAAAATAATGCAGAGAGCAAGAAATAAGGAGATGGATTCTTTTAAACTTAAATCAGGAATTTTCCATCCTTTTGGTTGTTTGCCTGGGCTTTTCTTTGGGTATTATTTTTTAATGGATATATTGGTCTTTAATTTCTATTGATCATAAAGAAAAGCTATTTTTGTAAGTGCTTAGATCTTTTTTTTTAATATATATATTGGGCTTTAATTTCTATTGATCATAAATAAAAACTCTTTTTGTAAGTGCTTAGATGTTTTTTATAAATATATATATTGGGCTTTAATTTCTACTGATCATAAAGAAAAACTATTTTTATAAGTCCTTAGATTTTTTTTAATATATATATATTGGTCTTTAATTTCTATTGATCATAAAGAAAAAGTATTTTTGTAAGTGCTTAGATCTTTATATATATGTATATATGTATATGTGTATACATATATATTTATATATATGTATATNTGTTACTATTTATTTATTTATTGCTATTATTACTATTACTAATTTATATATTTATTTATTACTATTACAAAATATTACTATTTCGGAGATGTTTGGCTAGAGAAAATTTTAAAGGCCTGCTTCTCAGAAAGGCTTGAAGAGCAAAGTCTTTTAGGAATATCTCAGAGCATCCTTTTTGTTTGTTTGTTTGTTTTTTAAATAAGGTTTTCAGACACAGCATGCGTCGCTTGTGGCAGAATTCCGGCAAACATTTTGCAGCCTGTGCAGGAGAAAAGCAGCCAGCAGAGGGGGATGGGGGCCCGGCAGTGGCGCTCAAAGGCAGCGTGGTTACCTGAGTGATCATAGGAAAGCCCATGATGAAGAAGGACACGCAGCAGCCCAGGGTGAACAGAGCCTTGTGTGTCCGCAGGTACTTGGGGAACTCGTCTGACACCGAGGTCACGATGGTCTCGATGGTGGCAAACTGAAACACAAACCAAAGGGTTCATTTCAGTGCACACACAGCAGAGAAAACATCAGAATTTGAACATCATTTTGAGACCTAGGTGGTAAATGCTCAGATGGCAGCACCAAAGCTCTGCCAAAAT